CAGATGTTGGGGGTAGGAGTTTATTAATTAATTAATTAATTTTTTTGCGGTGTTGGGTCTTCATTTCTGTGCGAGGGCTTTCTCTAGTTGTGGCAAGCGGGGGCCACTCTTCATTGCGGTGTGCGGGCCTCTCACTATCGCGGCCTCTCTTGTTGCGGAGCACAGGCTCCAGACACGCAGGATCAGTAGTTGTGGCTCACGGGCCTAGTTGCTCCGCGGCATGTGGGATCCTCCCAGACCAGGGCTCGAACCTGTGTCCCCTGCATTAGCAGGCTGACTCTCAACAACTGCACCACCAGGGAAGCCCCAGGAAGTGCATTTTATTTATTTATTTATTTATAAATTTATTTATTTATTTTTGCTGTGTTGGGTCTTCGCTTCTGCGCAAGGGCTTTCTCTAGTTGCGGCGAGCGGGGGCCACTCTTCATCGCGGTGTGCGGGCCTCACTATCGCGGCCTCTCTTGTTGCGGAGCACTCAGTAGTTGTGGCTCACGGGCCCAGTTGCTCCGCGGCATGTGGGATCTTCCCAGACCGGGGCTCGAACCCATGTCCCCTGAATTGGCAGGCAGACTCTCAACCACTGCGCCACCAGGGAAGCCCCAGGAAGTGCATTTTAAACGTCAGAAAGCATAAAGGAAGAACTCAACATGAGAAAGTGATAAGATGGTGTGTTTTTTTTTGTTGTTGTTTTTAATTTTTGGCCGCACCCCAAGGCATGTGGGATCTTAGTTCCCCAGCCAGGGATTGAACCCACGCCCGCTGCAGTGGAAGCATGGAGTCTTAACCACTGGACCACCAGGGAAGTTCCAGTAAGATGGTGTTCAAAATGAAGGGGAGATGTTTAAAATAAAGAGGAGAAAGGGTAAAACAAATGTATCTATGAATCCGTCTACTTATTCATTCATTCTCCTTTCTTTGGGCTCCTGCTGTGTTTTAGATCCTGTTCTGGGTCTGGGGATATAAAGGTGACTTTGGGGACAGCAAGCTGGACTTTGCCTCAGGGAGATCACATTCATCCATGCATGGGTGTAGGTGTCACAGCTAGAAAAGTCCCAATAGAGCATCTGTTTAACTTTCAACTCTCTTGTTGTAAAGAGAAAGAATGTGAGGCCCAGTAATACAAAAAGTACTTTTCTCCAAGAGTGAGTGATAGAACCAGATCGAGAACAGGGGCCATGTCCCTGGTGTCCCTTCCCCACCATCCTGCCTCCGCTGAGCCCTTGGCATGCAGGCCTCTGAGCTCTGAGCATGGTATCTCAGTTCTGTGTCCCTGAGGGACTGTTCATGCTTCCTGGGCAGAGTCCCCACAACCCAGTCCTGTCAGCTGATGGTGACAACGAGAAGTGACATAGTTACCTGGCTTGTGAGTGACAGAGGTGGGACAGCAGCCCTGATCTTGTATCAGTTATGTCTTCCTGTCTTATCTCACCTCCCTCCACCCCCACCCCTGCCACTAGAGAGACTGAGATCTCCCTGAGGGTGGGGGCCAGGTCTGATTCCTCCCTCCTCAGGGCCTGGCTCAGGGAAGATGCTGGGAACACAGGCTGGATGAGTGCAGCTAGGGGTGGGGGGGTGGATGTCCCTCAGCCAGGAGGGCTTCTAAACCCCTGGCTGCTCATCCAACTCCTGGCGTCCAAGGGGTGAGAAGGGAGGTCCAGGCCCAGGTGCTCCCCGGCCCTCTGAACAGGAAGAGCAGAGTGTTGGCCTCTGCCTGACAGCATTTCCGGGGTGTGGGTGAACTTGGTGGTGGGGGTAGTTCCTGGTCAGAATTAAGTAGCACAGGATGGCTGCTCCCCATGCAGGGCTCTCATCCATCACGGCACTTCTCAAGGCTGGTCTCAGGGTGGCACCAGAATGTCTAACACTTTCCTAATACTTGCTGAGCCTTTTGACAAAGAAGAGCAGATCTGGGTCAATGCCTCCAGCAGGAAACAATGTCTACTTAGAACTATATACCTTTGTTTACACTGTATTTATTTCCATGTTTTATCCTCTATTTCTGACAAGTGATACTTGGTTTTCCCTTTACAGAAGTGATGCAAAACAGATTCCTTGTAAAATGAATTTATTAAGCAAATAGTAAACCAATTTAAAGAAAAACATAAAGTACAGGTGGTAACTGACATGGCAAAATCCTAACATTCAGGACTGAGGTTTGAGAAGTCAGAGCCCAGCGAATGGAAACTCCTTCACCTCCCCCCAACACCTGGCTCTGCGCCCAGAGGGGAGGTCAGCTGATACAGATATTGGGGATCCATTTTTGTGGGGTGGAGCATCATAAGTAAGCCTGTCTTGGGGCAACTCTGTCTCTCTGGACCACTCCAAGAAGCTGGGAGGGAAGATGGCCAGAGGCCACGTTCTGGGAGAATGTTCCTTTCCACACTGGATCAAACTCAGATCTCCTTGGCTTGGGCTTCCCTCACCGTGGAAGGGTAAGATCTAGAGGGCTGAGATGCGGCGGCCTCAAGAGGACATGCTGCCCGCCGGCCTTTTGCGACTCTGGGTCCCAGGTGCAGGCAAGAGATGGCCTCTTGTTGCGAGGTGGGCGTCAAAGCCAGTTTATATGTAATAAGATGCTCTTTGGCCTGATCTTGACCTCTCTGTATGTGTTTTTCTGGAGGGATGATGTGGCTCTGGGAAGCTGAATTCCTGTCATCACCTGCTAGCATGGCTGATGCTTGTCATCACCACACTCTGTTCTTCAGCATCCTTGGGACCCTCACTCCAATGTCGGCGTCTTAGGTACACACTGAAGGAGGGTGGAAGCCGCGGCGTTGATGCTATTTCCTGGCTGTCTGGTACCTTGAGTTCTTAATCTGGAATGTGATCTTGGCAGTTTCTGGCCCAGAGTTGGCCCCAACTCCAGTTCTCTAAGCCACCGCCCCGGGCAGCTAAGCAAAGGCACCTCTGAGCTTGCCACACAGCGCAGGCTCTGTCCACACCCAGGTTGCCCAGGCCCAGATCCAGGGGAACCGAAATCCAGAAGTAAAAGGCCTGGGAGGGGCATTCTTTCCCGGGGCCTCAGGTGTCAGCTCAGGTTCTCAGGAGCCTCAGGGTCTTAGGATCCCTCTGAGGTTGGGCCTCCCCCACGGGTCTCTGGGAGGCCAGTCCTCCAGGCCCTGGGGATTCAGAAACTCACGCTGGTCGGGGCTTCACGCCTCCAGAAAGCTGAGATCTGCTCCAGGGTGACCCGAGGCTGGAGGCCCCACTCAGGATCAGGGCTTCCCGGCCGCAGCCTCCGGGCCTGGGGGCTCCCTGGATATGCACTGGCCTCTGGCCTCTGTTCAGGCTCAGCCCAGCTCACCAGGCCTGGGGTGTGGGGCCCCTCCTCCCAGACCTGGGGCCTCCAGAAGGTGCTAGGGGTTGGGGCGTTTGGTGGGGTCTGGGGGACCAAGGAGCTGGGAGGGGAGTATGGGGCTGAAGGGGCAGGTGGGGCTGTCACTCGTGCCTCCAAGGCGCCCCCCTGGGTGGGCGGGTCTGGGGCCCGGTCCCTCAGCAGGGGGGCCGCGGAGCCATACCAATCCTCAGAGCGCTCTCGGGGGGTGCCCGTGGGCTCAATCCACAGCTCCCCTCCCGGGCGCCAAACCAGGCTGGGTGTGCAGATGCTGGGGTCTGGGCGGAGGGAGCGGCGAAACAGGCGTTCAGCCAACACGGCTGTGGTCAGGAGGAAGACAGCAGCCAGGGTGGCCAGGGCCAGCATGATGGGGACACAGGGCCCGCAGGGCAGTGGGGGCCATGAGGAAGCCTCTGATGCAGGGGGCCCCTCCATGTGCCCAGAGGGCTGCTCTGGGGTCGGAGGCATCTGGAGAGACGGGGTCAGGAGAGGAAGCACATGAGACAGGGTTGGCACGATCAGGAGAGAGAGGGGCCAGGGGAGCAGGGCTCAGCAACATCTGGCTGGAGAAACAGACCCAGGCAGACAGAGGAGCCCGGAGGACCCAGAAACGGCGGGAAGGAGCCAGATGGCCAGAGAGATGGGGCCCACCTCGGTCTGCAGCCAGGCCCTCCTGTTCAGAACCCCCAGGCCCTTTCTGGAAGCTGCATTTTCCTCCCAGACTCCAGGGTGCCTCAGACAAAACTGAACTCAAACTCAAAGAACCCAAGGACTTCTTTCCTCCTGTCTCAGCCCGCCCATGCTGGGTGAGGAAATGAGAGCCTCCGTCCCATCTCTGCCCCTGCGTGTGGGCCCCACTCCCGGCCACCTTGGCGGTGCCCTGGCTGCTCCTTTGCCCTCACAGCTCTCCTTGGAGTTGGTCTTGTTCTCTGCAGGCTCCCCTGAGTTTGCTGTTGTGCCAGGTCTCAGGTGCCACCTTTGCTCCTGTCCCCGCCTCTCTGGCTTTGCCCAGTCTCTGTCTGCCTCTGGCTGTCCCCCAGGTCCCCCACCTGCAGGGGCCTCCTGCATTCTTCACCTCACCTCAGTCAGTCTCTGGGCTCCTGGCTCGCCCTCAGAGCCG